CTGGGTGTCTGACAGGGTACTACTGTGTGTCAGAGTACCAACCTGATAAGTTCAGGTGTCTGTGGGTTAGCCAGAACTGATGGGTTCAGGGTCTGTGCTTTAAGTTAAAGGTTCTAGGTGAACCAAACTGTATGCTTGTGTGTGTGAGAATAAGCCACGTTACTTTATTTTATTCACCTGATTGTTTTATTTACCCTGTTTGTATTTAAAATAAACCTTATTCTTTTGTTGTTTAAAAGTCCATCCCTGGTCTGTGTGACTTATTATAGGGAATGGTTGGTGGCAGCTTAGTAACTGTGTGATAGATCCCAGTAGGTCTGGGTTTGTCACATGAGTCATCCTGGAATCTTGTTTCTACTCATAGATCACATCGCCATCCACATCCTTGGGGATTGGAAAAGGGGGGGGGGGAACTATAGTCGTGCCCCGCTGGACGATTACCCCGTTTAACGACGAATCCACTTAACATTGAAGTTTTTGCGATCGCAAACGATGTTTAAATTGGTTTTGTTTTTCGTTTGACTATGGGTTCCCTGTTTCGGTTTCAAAAATGGTCGCTGGCTTTCAAAATGGCCCTCCTCTGTTTTCTAGGACGGATTCCTCACTATACAAGCACCAAAAATGGCCGCCGTATGGAGGATCTTCACTGGACAAGCAGGTATTCAACCCATTGGCACACATTGAACCAGTTTTCAATGCGTTTCAATGAGTTGTTTATTTCACTTGACGATGTTTTCGCTCTACAGCGATTTCGCTGGAATGAATTAACATCGGCAAGCGAGGCACCACTGTATCTCAGGAATAAATTCTACCTTGGTCATTTTGGGGTACAGGTGCTCACACCCCAGCCTATCTGAAAGTATCAACTGCAAAGTTGCACCCCATTTTAGCATCCAGGACTGTAAACAGGTAATTTCGATGGTTCATGGAGGCCCTGGCCTTGCCCCACACTGCAGCAATGAATCTGAACGGGATAATTTCTTGCTTGCATGGATTGACACATCAGCAGGATTCTATCCTTTCCAGGCCCATGACGGAGCAGAGTCAATCTAAGGCCCTCTGAATGGGCTCCCAGGGCCAGGCTGAATAACACCTGCCGAGGGCTGCCGTCTCCAGCTGAGACAGGTAAACACAAGAGCAGGTGGGCTGGAAAGAGTCACACCACAAGCCTGTTTTAGGAAAAGTTACTTTTGAAGACCACAGACTTCCCAGAGGGCATGACCAGCAGCAACAGCAGTTAGGCAAGACGGAGAATCATCGTCTGAAAAAAAGGAAGTTTTCTAAGATCGGAAACTACAGCCAGTAGCCACCCGATGCCAAGTGAAGGGGTGGCATTTTGGCTGCGCCTGGCATGGTCTTCCAGAAAGGCTCTCTGTGTCATAAAGAATGTCTCAGGGTTATCCCTTCCCTGCTCAGACAGATGAGTCAGCCAGAAAGAGGAATCCACGTGAATGCCAGATCTCATGTGGCCGGGCAAGGCAACTGCTGGGGATAATCCTCCTCCAGCTTTCCCATCGAGGAGGCCAATACAGAGTCACAAAGCCATAGCGATCCTGGTAAAAACACACAGCTCGGCTGCAGGTTTCACCACCATCCAATAAATAAATAAAAGCATGCCACTTATTTCAGCAGCAGCAGCAGGAGGGCCAGAACCACATACATGATGCATGGATCCTATATCCATCACCCCTGCTATGTACATTACCGTGGTACCTTGGTTTACGAATTTAATGTGTTCCCTGGGAAGTTTCGTATTGCGAAAAATTCGCAAACCGAAAAGCAGTTTCCCATAGGAACGTGTGCACGGGGGCAGCGCTATAAACCTCCCAGGGGTGCAAGGCATCCTAGGGAAACTTGCTCCGTATTGCAAAAAATATATATTTTAAACCGAGGCATTCTTTGCAATGGATTTGCATTTGTAAACCAAAAATTCCATTAACCGAAGTGTTCCTTATAGTGATCCTAAATAGGGTTTTCAAAGTAAGTGAGGTACTGAAAGGAAGGTTTTAACAGTTTCACTCCCCCAACGAGCTTTCATGGGGGAGGAGGGATTTGAACCGGGGTGCGTCTGGTCTCCCCATCATGCAAACCATCCTTCTCACAACCTGTGGTTGCCTGCAAGTTTCATTCCCCGCCCTCTGCGTCACACAAAAAAGGGGAAGCAGAGAGTTGCCCGCAGGCTCCCACGGGCTTTTCCCCATGGCATCGGATGTCAGCAAAAAGTTCTTCTTACAGTTATCCGGTGGCAAACACATGCTGTCATGGATTCGAAAAGCACATGACTGCTAAAAACCAGACAGCTTCACTTCCTCTTGGTGAATGCCAGCTGGGGAGGGAAGTTCACCTTTTAAATTCCCGCAAGAGGTTGCATACTAATCCTTTTTTTTTTGTTTCCGATAATTACCTCTGCCAGTAGACCTTCCCGCAGAGACCGTTTAATTTCTGCTAGCCTTTGCAAAAACTGGTCTGTGGGAGGGATTGCTCACAAACGATTGAGAAAGATTTGGGATTCCCGAGGGTGCCACTGTTCTCAATCATCGCAGGGTGCAGGATGCGTCATAATGGGCTCCAGCGACCAGAAGCCAGATTTAGGCTGACAATGGGGAAAAACTTCTTAACTGTTAGAGCGGTACGAAAGTGACCTTAGAAAATGGTGAGCACTCCAACACTGGAGGCATTAAGAGTAAATTGAGGGACGTCTGCCAGATCTGCTTTGATTTGGATGCCTGCCTTGAGCAAGGGGTTGCACTTTGTGGCTTTATAGGCCCCTTCCAGCTCAATTATTCTAGGAATCACTCACATATTTCCAAATACCGCATTTTTCCGAGTATAAGACTGACTATACTTTTGTCTAAAATCTTTAGACTAAAAATTGAGGGTTGTCTTATACACGGAAGTAAGCTGAGGAGAGAAAAACAGGTGGAGGGGAAAGCAGGGATCAAAGCGATCCTACAGCACTTTGATCCCTTTCCCCCCCACACAGTTGCTAAGACCCATTTGAATTTCTTAATTTTGGATTAGAAAGGTGGGGGTGTCTTATACATGGGGGCGTCTTATACACAGAAAATACGGTACATCTTCACAAAGAGCCAAGACTAGAAATTAACTTTCAAGCGTTCAGGTCCCTAGGAAGCTCAGGCCAGCCCTCCATCTCCCCGCGGGGACCTGATCCTTTAAAAAAAGAGTCGTTATTACCTGATTCAAGTATGTCAGGATGATGGCAGTTTGATCAGGATTCTCTAAAGGTATCCCGTTCGTCAAAGTTGCTCAAGGCCACCACGTTGCGACTCCCTTTCCTTTCCATAGAAAGACGGGCAGAAAGGCAACACCTAATAATCATACTATTTCTTCTGCGGAGGGAAAACAGGAGAGAGGAAAGAAAGTCAGAACACGGAGCAGCTTGCCCTGGATGTTATTCCAACGGATGACACAGAAACGGATGCAAAAGCCAGGCTTGGAAGGTGTCGGCTAAAGTCTTATCTGGCCACCCCACGCCACGATTTGCATCCTAAGCCAATAAAGCAGCTGCCGGCTGACGGAGTCTTGCAATCCCCAGAGGACAGAACCAGATCAAACTGGCACAGACTTGTCTCCCAAGCAAAAACAGAGAAATAGCAGCCCATCTTCTGTGTAACGATGAGTGGTCAATTTCTTAAGGCAGCAGCATCTACGCTTCCAGGGGAAAAACCGCGGAGGGGGGGGGAAACCACTGCAGAGGTTTTTCCGGGAGGTTTGCAATTGCAAATTTGAAGGACAAGTTAAAAGCAAAATGCGTCAAATTCAGTGAGTAATCCCACTCGCAGTGATTAGGAAACCTGGTTTGAAACCCTTCCCGCCAGCCTTTGGCCCAGTTCATAGCCTGCTGGAAAAAAACGACAAGATCAATCCAATTTCCAAGGAACACAGGCCAGCTTAGGAGTCATTTTACAAATTTAAAGAACAAAGTGAGTCAGTAAGTTGCTTCCTCGTCTAAAAAGAAAGAAAAAAAGTTTGCAAGCTTTTTGAGTTAAAGGAAAATTCCAGCCCCCCCCCATGCAGACCTTAAGTCTTTATACTCCACACTGATTTATGCACTATTTGTTTTTAATTTTCCCCTTGCTCCCAGGGTGTATTAAAAAAAAACAATGTTTTTTTTAAAAACGAATTGATTTAAATCATCATTTAAATTAAAAATTTTAAAATATCATTTATAATTGAAATTGTAAAAAAAAGATTTTTTTTTAAAATTGAAATCATGTTTTAAATCCATTTCATTTATATCAGATCCGCCCTGTTTGTGAGATCATTCCGCCAGTTAAAGATCTTTGGAAGTTTCCCTAAACTGGCTTGGCTATTTTGTGACATCTGAGTCATGGTACATTTGCCCATGTGGGCTTTCAGCATGAAGCTTGCACTGTGTTATGGTGGAATATGGTCATTTGAGAGGATTCGATGCTCCTGCGAATTACAATAAAGGCCATAAAAACGATAGCCACAAACAATAGCTGGGGGGGTGCAGAGGGGTGGGGGGCATGCTGAAGAAGCTCAAAGCATAGCCAAATACATTAAAAAAAATAGCTGCTTGGGGCCACCAGCTTGCAGACCATGCTGGTCCCAGTGCAACTGAGGTCTGGATATTATTATTTTTTAGCTAAGACCCTAATGCTCAGTCTTCAGTGCGGGAGGGTAGGGGGAAGAAGGATCACAAATAATGAATGAATGAATGAATGAATGAATGAATGAATGAATGAATGAATGAATCACAAAAGGAGCAATTTCAGTTTTTATACATCTCCCTCTGGTGAGATGCAGCCAGCTAGACAAAAAGTGAGTGGAGTATTTTGAAGGGCAAATTAGGAGGTTCAGAAATCTCGAAAAGCCACCGTTGGCAATAGAAGGAAGGCAACGTGCAAGGGACCCGTGGCCAGAGTGATGGACGATAAAGGTGCTTTGACGGCCCCATCATCCCAAAAGGGATCAAGGCTGCTGCCAGCCCTCCAGAGACAATGCTCCCTGATGTGTGGCCTCAAGAAGATGGGCCAGAGTCTGCCTCAGGCAGCAAAACCTCTTGGGATGGCTGAGAAACGAGAAAAAAAGTTGATGTCCCAGTTCTGTTGGCTTGTGCATCCCATTTTGCCACAATGGGGCTCAAAGGAGCCCAATTTATTTTCTGGTCCAGCCAAGGGCTGCATCTAGGTAGGAGAGAAGGGGTGACTGCCGTTTTAGGCTAGTGGACGCTGGACCTTGTAGTCCTGATCAAAGGGACACTTTAAAGCAAAGAAGATCCAGAACAAAAGAAAAAAACCCCCACGTATCCTGAAGAACCAAGGAGATCCTATATAGGGAAGAGGAAATGATTCTGGGAGAGAAGGAAAGGAAGGAAAAGAAGGGGGGGCGAGTGGCCCAAAACGGCACAAAGTTCTTTTAACCGGGGATTATGGGAGTTGTGATTTAAAAAAAATTAATCAGGTTTCCAGGCTTGGGTATCCCTAGAAGCCCGGTGAGCGCCTCTCCAGGTGTCACAC